GCTATAGCGTGGTTGGGAAGCGGTTAAAGGTGGAAAAAGTTCTGAAATTATTTATCTTTGTCTCATTTTTTTACATCACAGAAACCTGACATCTTAACAGGGATGTGTAGACTTTTTTTATATCCACTGTAATTGTCTGAATGTTTTAGTATGCAGTAGCATTAATTGCACCATTCACTGTAAACACCAGTACTCAATCATATGGAGAAGTATCCACATATTTTCAGCCATACAGTAAAATAGTAATGAAAATGAAAGTTTGTTCATTTAAAGATACCTTATTCTTCTCCTGCATAACATTAGTATTTTTATAGTTAAATACGTTTCCCTATAATTGCAGATTAAGAAGAACTTCTTGCAAATACATATTCCAATCGCTAATTATTGTATTCAATATTTCCATATTTTTATGTGGTTTTTGTAGTTATTTATGTTACGGGTGTTTATATTGCACCACATGTGCTGTTACAATATACTTTCTCTTTTAACAACAGTGCTATAACACAAAACTTCAGTTTTTTTGCATGAATATCTTAACTCAGGGGTCTCCCTGGATGCATCAGTCTCTACTCAGTTATAGATGTTACACTTGGTTTCTGCATGAGACCTTAAAGTTAAGCTGCTCCTTGATTTCTCCTCCAGCCTGACTGGACAGCAACACACTGATGTGTCCTCACCTCAAGCAAGCTCCCAATTTTTAGGATAACAATGCTATGCAATGCTGTACAATGTAGGTCTTGATTGGCTTGCAGCACTGGCCTGTCCGCACCCATTCCTGTGCAGGACAAGAAGCTCATACAATGAAAGGCTGCAAAACCCATGCCAGCCACATATTTTTGTGTGAACCATGTTTATGTATTCTATGTTAGTGTAAAGTAACTTTTAATATTTAAATATCTGCATCTTTCATTGAAACAATACCTGGCAGGGCTGAAACTAGAGGGGGTAGGTGGTGTATCTGCTTCTGAGACAGCGGTATCAGAACTCCTGGTGTCTGGAGTCATGCTGGGGATGCCAGTGCAGTGACAGCTCAGCATAGTAAACAAAGAGCATCAGCAAAGGAAGATTTCCATCACTGGCTTCCTCTGTCTTCTTTTGTTATTGGCTCTTTGTTTACAAATGGCAGCAGTGATTGTCTGAGCTATCCCAGACATTCCTCCAGGGCCTCTCACTGCATCTGTCTGGAGAAAGATCAGCAGAGAAGAACAGCGAGAGGGGGATGATTCTTCTACAGGATTGCAGATGGATCAAGCAGCCAGGTATTGAGCAACAGTGCCCCCCAATTTGCCCCACTAAGTACCATGATCCATGTCTCCACCCACTGAGCACCAGTGCCCCTTCCCCACTGACTGGCAGTGCCCCCAATCTGCCCTCACTGAGCACCAGGACCTCCCATCTCCCGCAACTGGGCACCAGAGCCTCCTTTTGTCCTTCCACAGTGCACCAGTATCCCCATTTCCCCCCACTGAGCACCAGTGCCCCCTCTGTTCCCCTGGAGTACCAGTGCCCTCTTTTTTTTTACCCAATGAGCACCAGTGCCCCCCATGTCTCTCCACTGAGAAACCAGTGCCCCCCTTGTTTCCTCATTGAGCATCAGTGCCCTCCTTGTCCTCCCACTGAGCACCAAAAGTGAGACATCGGGGGTCTGTTTAGACCCCTAATATTTCACCAAAGCCCCCCAACAGGGCTCCTAAAATTTTTTTATAAAATTGCAAAAAATAATAAAAACCAAAAACTACTGACACCATTCACTGCTCTACTGACACCATACTCTTCGGAAGGGACACTGAACTAAGTCTTTGCCCCGGGTGAAAGAATGTCTAGTTTTGCCACTGATACCTGGTGATGGTGCCATTGAGGTGCTTGTTTGGGTACTTCCTGTTATTTGGTGACAGTACTGTGTCCCTGTTTCACAGGTGTGCCTCTTGCATTGTCACCCAATCACATTAGTTTCTGATACTGAATACAAGTGACCACTTAAATCCACATTATGCAGGCATGGTTCGCTGTTGTCACCATTGGCGAAACGCAGCCTAAGAAATACCATGCAGCAATCACTACAGTGTGGGTATGATGATAAAAAGTGGATGCAAAGAGGCTGGGGGAGCCTGAGATTCAACAAAAGTGAATCAAGCATTTTATGTTAAAAAAAGGCAACTGTTTATGCTGCGCTGTGCTTTAGAAAACGAAATGCCATTCAGTTAGGATTTATATCTCCTGTAAATTGATTTTAAACTAACATATAAATTTTGGTCTTATATACCTGCCTGGAGTTAATGGTTTTGCTTGACCTGAATTATACCTTATATTATAGATATTATTTTATATATTAAAGGGAATCAGTACTGGGAGAACTGAGAGAACTTAGAGGCTGCCATTGGGGACCTTTCCTGCTACAAATGCTAGTTTTTCTGACTATTATACAGATAAAATGGTTTTAATCATTTGTGAGGCACAGACCTGGAGCAGGTATGCAGGCCATCAGATCTAGTATTGAAGATGGACACAGCCAGGCAACTAGTATTTTAAAAATATTGCAGCCTTGTATTTCAAATGGTATAGATTTGTTTAATGGGGAAGAATCTTGATTTTCTCTTAGAATCATTTGTAAATGGTATTCATTTATTATGTAGTTCTGTTAGCTGTTGTAGTATTTATTGTACCCAATAGAAAGTGTTTTATATTTTTCTGGTAGCATTTTTTTTGTCTGCAGTTAGAAATATAATATTCACATAAATACAAAAAATGCATAGAATGCATGAAGGTAAAAAACCTTGAGCCTTTATAACCACTTTAACCACCTTCCGCCCGCCCTATAGTACAATGACGGGCGCAAGGGGGTTCTCTCATTGTGATAGGACGTCATATGACGTCCTATCATTCTCACTGCGCATGCGTGGCTCAGGGAGCGTGCAGTGCAGCGATCGCCAGTCCGCTGTGTCCCTCAGACACAGCGGATCACGGAAAGAGCCGAAGATGTCGGCTCAGTCATGTGATCAGCTGTGTCCAATCACAGCTGATCACATGTAAACACGGAAAATGCCGGTTATCGGCATTTCTCTCCTCTCGAGCTGTCACGCTGACAGCTCGAGAGGAGAGGAGAGCGGTAATCGGCTTTCTGCAGAGGGGACATGTACACTGATCATCAGGGCACTGATGATCAGAGTGCCCTGATGATCAGTGTGGCCCCAGAAGTGCCACGTGCCAGTGCCCATCAGTGCCACGTGCCAGTGCCCATCAGTGCCACATCAATGCCACATATCGGTGCATACCAGTGCACATCAATGCCACATATCAGTGCCCATCTGAGCTGCCTTTCAATGTCACCCATCAGTGCCAGTCAGTGCCATCTATCAATGCCAATCAGTGCCACCTATCAGTGCTGCCAATCAGCGCCACATATCAGTGCCAGTCAGTGTCGTCTATCAGTGCCGCCTATCATTGCCAGTCAGTGCCGCCTAACAGTGCCAGTCAGTGCCGCCTAACAGTCCCAGTCAGTGCTGCCTACAGTGCCACCTATCAGTGCCATATATCAGTGTCATGTATCAGTGTCATGTATCAGTGCTGCCTTTCATTGCCCATCAGTGATGCCTGTCAATGCCCATCAGTGAAACCTACCAGTGCCTCCTCATCAGTGCCCATCAGTGCCACCTATCAGTGCCCATCACTGCAGCCTCGTTAGCCTCATTAATTTTCAGTGGTTTTTGGTTTGTTTAAGAAAAAATAAAAATCCCAGAGGTGATTAAATATGACCAAAAGAAAGCACTATCTGTCTCAAAAAAATGATAAAAATGTCATATGGGTACAATGTTGCATGACCGCGCAATTGTCATTCAAAGTGTGACAGCGCTTAAAGCTGGAAATTGGCCTGGGCAGGAAGGGGGGTGTAAGTGCCCTGTAGGCTAGTGGTTAAAGAATACGTTCACCTTTGGGAATATGTTACATATTCCACCTGTTTTGTAGGGTATAACATGTAACATGTTCCCATTCCTGTAGCTCTTACCCATTCACCTTCCTGCATGACAGCGGGCCAGGGATGTTCTACCCGCACCCGCTGTATCAATTTGAATAGAGTGTGGCCAGGAGGGCTCTGCCCACATGGCCTTGTAATTCATTCACAGAGTTCTGTGAATAAATACCTACAAGTACCATTATCCTTTGTAGCTGAAGGCTTGTAGTTCTCTATGAACTGCGAGGGACTGAAGTAACTGCCTGCCTGTATCGGAGGTATGGGCAGCCAGCTACACTGACAGTCTGCTGGAGCCTGACATTGAACCCGCAATCTGCTGATCGGGGGTGCAATGCTTCACAGGTTCCTAAGAAAAAAATAGTAAATGCATATTTTTTTTAACTGCAAAAAAATACAATATTATTTTTTAACTGTGAACCTATCCTTTAATTAAAAAAATTAAATTAAAAATCCTTAGATAGAAACAAAATGCTTAGATTGGTACAAAAAAACAGAAGAGGTGTAGAGAGGTGTTTTGCAGTATTTAGTTATACTCTATATTCTTGGTAGTTGTTGAAAGCAAATATCAGTTAAAGTAAAGGTTAAACTTCTTGTTTAGTTTTGGATATAGTGGGTAAGGATTAGAACACCAGACAGTTCTTAGAACACCTGTCAGTTGTTATGGCTATCTGTGCCCCCATTATGGAAATTCACCTTCTCTATTTGTCCTTTTTATTATTACCACCAAGAGTGAAAGTAAAAGAAAATCCCAAAATTTCAGTTGTCCTCAGGACAGTAATAGAGGGAAAATCTTCCAACGGAAACACTAGTTTTGGTGACAACCTGGTATTCCCTTACTTTGGAGGGATTTCTTCTTACCTGTTTTGTCTGTGAGACATAAAATGAAGAAAAATCTCTCTAATGGGGCACAGATGGGCAGGGGGTATAACCCTCCCTTACTCTCTCCAAAATGAAAAAAATAAAAGTTTTTCTTTTAGTTCTTCTGTACATTAATGCAGTTCATCTGTGTTTTGAAAATGTATTTGACCAGCTTTATTTGAAAAATATATTTTCTCAGTTAATGATTTAAATGTATTTTTGACAACAGAAAACTACATTCCTGCCTATTCACATCCTGCAGCAAAGACACAGACATACCGTCCTCTCTCGAAAAGTATCTCAGACAATGGCACTGATGTATTGAGATTGTCATCACCGCTGCCTCCTCCACCTATACCTGTGCCTCCTCCGGCTGTGCCTCTCCGTCCTCGGGAGCTGGCCTCTCCTGAGAAGTAAGTAATGTGAATTTCACTTGTGTACTATTCTCTTTATGATAACCAGATGTCTCATGGTCATTATACATATTCTTTAAATAAATGCCTATTCTATCATACAGAATGCTCAACGCGAAGGCCTATAAAACATCCAATAAACAATACTAGGCCATGTTAGTAGCCACAGTCACCTTGACTGACACATTGACAGGTTAAGTAAAATATCATGTTGCTCATATGTTATGTATTGTGCCCTCACAGAAAACAAGCTACTATCATGGCATTGCCAAAACCAATATTATCCTCCAAACCATCACCATTTGAAATCACTGCATTAAAGTGGAAAACAAATTTAGAAATATATATCAAATATTCTATGACTTACCCCTAGCTTAAGCCCGCAGTGGCAATAGTTAAATCATGATCCTTTCAACAAGATCCTGAGAATAATAACAATCTCGAATATTGCAAGAAGACACTTCAGCGCAGTGCAGGAACAACTTTTTGTGAGATTTGGGATTTGTGAGATTTCCAAGGATCCTGATGCCCTATCCAGTGCAGAAACCTGGGTTAATCTCCATTGTGGAAGCCTGGGGTATGGTAAGCATATTTTCTACCTTTTTCCACAGATATTTTTTTTTTCCAATTTAATTTAGGGGAGATGTGAACCTCGTTCAAATGCGAAGCTCAGTGCAGCATAATGTATATGTATAGCTAAAACATTTTTTCGTTTTGGATAAAGTGGGGAAAAGTTAAAACCTGTTTTTTTTTTTTTTGCTATGTCCTATTGGTATATTTTCCTTTACTTCTAGAGACAGCTCATGAAATTATAGAAAATGAATACAAAATCAGGGGAATTCTCCTTTTAGACAGCTGTCACCAGGTATCATCACTGGAAGATTTACCCTCCCTGTAAAAATCTGATTTCCCCACCACATTTTGTTGCCCTGGCAATGGTCACTAGCAATGGGAGCATAGACAGCAACAAGAACTTGACAGTAGATATAACCCTTCCATACTTTATTCGAAAAAAACAAAACATTTTGCTTTACATACACTTTAAGAAGGTTAGGGTCACCTACTTACTTTTAGAAAGCTCAACCTATACTATTGTTTTACAGGGAGATTTTAATAAATAATACAATTTTAAGATTGTGTAGATTGAGCACACAGCTGAATGCCTCCAGGTTGCAGTACCTTGCCGTAGCCTCATGATCTAGGGCTTCCATTAAAATAACATTCCAGCAACAAGTATTTGTTATATTTGGCTTAGGTAATAAAAAGATGATGAGACCACCAGTATGCAGGAACCATCCTAAAATGTTAACATGAGCAAGGATAGGGGCATTCAGACATGTAATGATGCCTAAGGCTATGTCTGGAATGGCACCCCTCACATTCCATACATATCTCAACATAAATATTTTGTACGATATGCACTAAAAAACAAAAACAAAATAATTGCTAAATATGAATAAAGGACCCTGTTATATGGAAATCTGTAATAGCTTTGGAATTGGAATTCTTATTTACTACACCCTCTGTCACCAATCAAACTCTAAGCTCTAAACTGCCTCTCTTGTTTTAGCAATAGTACTGCACAAAACTAAAATGTATAATAACTTTGTGACCTGATAGAGGTTATGGTGGATTGTGGTCCTTGCCTGTCCTAACTCTGCATTGCCTGTGAAGACTTTTGTAGATTTAGCAGTTATAGAAGACCTGTTGTCCCTTGGTACCATGCTACATGGCACCTACCTACTTTCTGCAGATGAAAAAGAGACAAATCAAAATTTCAAAATTCTGGCACTATGTAAAGAGAGGCAGATGGCAGATCACAGTATTTGCTGCTCAAATTGATCACCACCTCTTTGCAGCGTAGTGTTCTAAGCAGTAGATAAAGGTAGTGATTATATTTTTTCTAATTTATTTAGAAATATATTTCTAGGGTTCCTGCAGATTGTAATATACAGTAGCTTTGACTTGAAGTATTAGCAATAACAGAATGTATAAGTTGGAGATACAGTACATTTTTCAAAGTTCTAATTAATTCTTAGATTGTAAGCGCTAACGAGCAAGGCCCACTGTTTCCTCTTGTACCAAATTGTATTGTAACTGTTATGTCTACCTTCATTTTGAAAATCACTGCGCAAACAGTTGGCGCTATATAAATCCTGTATAATGATAATAATAGGAAACAATTTACAATTTCTGAAGGGAGTTCTATATTTGCTTTGGACCTTTTGTACAAACACTAGGGTTTCTCTGCATCTGCGATCCCTTTGTAAACTTTAGTCCACAAAATATCACAAAACAGTAAGACCAAGTGGAATTCAGAAAATGCAGAGGAAAACGTTTCTCGTTGCGCAGCAACGCAATCACATTGTGCCAGCAGGTTGCCTTACATGGGACAGCATAGCAAGACCATACTGGCCTTGAAGTTTGGGGGTTCAGGGTTCCTATATTCTCTGCACATTTGTATGAGTTCTCCCACACATTCCTATTAGCTTCCTTTTGAACTGGATGTAACGTGTCTGTATGTCTATGACTTTGGCAGGGACTTGGACTGTAAGCTCTGGGGGCTGGGTGCTTTGTAAAAAGTTCTGTTTTCTTTGCTTTAAGTATAATCCTGGAACTGTGTTAGGTGAGATTTCCCATGTGTTAATATATTTTGAGGAACTCAGAGTCTAATTACCTGATGTAATGATACTTATAATGATTCACTTTCAATAGATTTTTTATTGAGAATTTTTTAAAACATTTTTAAATATACAGTATAGTGCCCTGTCCATGAATAATATTTTAGTCATGTGTCTCTTTTTTTCTTCTGTAAGGAATGAATGGGAACCACCAGATAGAAAGGTTGATACACGCAAGTTTCGATCTGAACCCAGGAGCATATTTGAGTATGAGCCTGGAAAGTCCTCCATCCTTGAACATGAAAGACCGGTAAGAGCACATCATATGAGCTGATGAGTGGGGAAGATTTGTAATATTTTGTGGAAGAGTAGAAAGCTGAAGAAAAGTGGTGGCAATAGCAATCCAATGTAACCTTTGAAAAACGAAAAAAAAAAAAAATTACTGTAATGAGCATAGGTAAGCTGCCAGCACAATAAAGTTGTGATACCAAACTTGCAATAATTGTACAAGAGAAATGTGCAGTGCTGTGTAAATCTTCACAAAATAAACCAAATCAAACAGTGCAAAAATCACAAACGGTTAAATAAAATTTAGTTTATAGTCATTTGTGTCCCAGTTCAGTCCATATAAAAGCCATATGACCTAAAACTATGTGTTAGTCCAATCTTGAAAGTCACATTCACAAATGTGCAATAACACAGAATAGTGCACCCAAATATAAAGTCATACACCAGCTTCTTACCAAATTTGTTGACCGTTGCTGCTTGTACACAGTCAAAAAACACATGAAGGGTTAATCTTTTCCACACACCACATGGAAAAATATGTCTTCACAATATCTATATGTGCAGTGAAACTGAACAGTGCTCCCAAACCAGAAACCATGCTCCAGCTTTTTACCAGACAATATTGACCATGACTGTTTGTAAATGGTCAAACAGCGCATGAGGGGTTCATTGCTCCCGATGGTCAGCACATCTCCTTCCGTACACAATATGGGAGGTAGACGCCACAACTGGTTTATCTTACTGCCTTAAAGAAAACATTACTTGTATACGTTCACTAAAAATGTACTGCTGTGTATTGGCTCTCTGCTGGAGACACAGCTCTTGGTGTGTTTGTTAAAGAATATGGAGGCCAATCACTCCTATTTTCCCTTCCTCTTACAGAGTTCCCAGCATTGTATGATGAAAGACTGACTTTTCCTTTCCCTCTCAGTTTCTAAAAGACTACAGATGTGTATAGTGATATATACCCCCCACCTACTGTGCAATGCATGTATTTTCAAGGATGCACTCTTAGCTGCAGGAATCCCTTTATTTGACTGGTCCTCTAACACAGATTATTCTGGGGTGACAGGGCACATCTTTATCATATGTTTAAAGGATGACCTATACTGAAAACACATCTTTCTATCCTGACCACCCTGTCTTCTGGTTATTTGGTCAAATAAAAAGATTAAAATGCCTCACTTGTGCTGCAGAAAACATTCCATGCTCCTCAGGCAAACAATCCTATAACCACTTCTGTTTTCAGCTAAATAGGAAGATCAGTCCTTGAGCCCCTTCAAGTAAAATCATGTAACCCACTACCTATGCATTTGGTCACCTGACCAGCTGCATTGGGAGTTTGGAGCAGTATTTTATTTCTACTTCACAAGTAACATTTTTAAGCTATTTTAAAAAGAATGCAGGATTGTCAAGGTAAATTAGGGGGGGTTGTATTATTATTACAGGTACATATGTAGCGCCGTCAATTTACACAGTGCACATCAGTCCCTAACCCTCAAGGAACATACAGTCTAAGGTCCCTAACTCATATACCGTACATACTTTTTCATACAATTTAGACAGGAGCCAATTAACCTGACAGCATGTCTTTAGAGTGTGGGAGGAAACCCATGCAGACACAGGGAGAACATGCAAACTCAAGGCAAGTAGTGCCGTGGTTAGGATTTGAACCGACGACCCTAGTTCTGCCAGGTAACAAACAGTGCTAACCATTTAGCCACTGTGCTGCTCATTGTATTTGTGCTATAGTTCGTATTCTTTTTTTTTTTTGTTAAGCTCATCAAATCCATCCACACTTGGCCTAGTTTGAAGCCTTGGTCTTGACTAACATAGCAGTGAGAACAATCTATGATATATTTTTTATATGGTTCTGGCCATCTCAGTGGATTGCTTCAAAAAAGGCCTGGATTGTTTCTTAGATACACAGAATATAACTGGATACTAACATTTATAGGTAAAGTTGATCCAGGGAATATCCAATTTCCTCTCGGGGATCAGGAAGGAATTTTTTCCCCTGCAGGAGCAAATTGGATCATACTTTGCTGGGGTTTTTTGCCTTCCTCTGGATCAACTGTGGGTATAGGATTTTAACTTTTTTTTTTTTTTTATGGTTGAACTGGATGGACTTTTGTCTTTTTTCAGCCAGACTAACTATGTATCTATGTAACTAGAAACAGCGGTGTCAGAATACATAGACAATAAATACATTTTGACCTCATGTGAATGAAAGCTAAGTGGGAGAAGTGAGGACTTATTTACTGCAGCCTTTCTGTAAAAAAAGATAAAACGATACCCTGTACTTTTGGATGAATGTTAAAAAATAGATGTCATAATGTCCCCTAATAAAATCTTTTTTTTATAGATTTAGAACTGTGCATATACTTTTCTAGCCAATGGTAAAATATGATACAACCACAGTTCTACCAACTCGGCACAGAGCTCTCCCCAGAAAAATGTCTGGTGTTGTAATTCTTTGGTGATGCCTGTAGACAGGAAAAAATAGATTTCCCAGTGGTCTCATTTATCAATATCATATTTAAAGAGAGGAGCTTTATGGCTGCTTCATAACACATCTACTGTTTTACATTGCTCAGCACAGGTCCAATGCAATGACGAGCAAAACTGCATTATTTCCTATAGATCCTGTTCACGCTATCATGTAGCATTGGGGTGTGCTTTGTAAAAATAAAACATACTGCATTTAAATGCATCACAATTCACTACAAAACATTACAACACATTACAGTATGCTGCCACACATGTTAAGAAAGGAAAAAAATATATATATTTTGGCTCCTGCTACAAAAAAACACATCAATGAGATGCAAAACGTAAAAAAAAAAATAAACATATGCCAACTCAAGTGCATTTATCACACGACATGAGTTACATGCAATGTGTTAATCCAGCCTTTAAGCGCATGTAAACTGTAGCTGACTGACATTTAGACTGCTAAAGCACTGTGCATCATAAACATTTCTTTAATTATTAGTTAATAAAACACTTTTTTAATCTTTATCTCATAGCATATCTGTGTTGATGATTTTCTTTCGGCCAATTTCTGTCTACATGTACCCCTCTCCAGAGCACTTGTAGACTATATTAGGCGCTGCTGCGACAGGGTGACACAATACAGAAGCACACAAATTGGAGACAGTTGTCACCCAATGACAGGAAGCGCCCAAAGCTGACCTTTGAGGTAGTAATCACCAGGTATTATTTTAATGAACGCTGCTTTCAAATGGCTGAAAACAACTTTTGAAATGAAAGATTATGGAATTTTTGGTGACTAGGCTTAGATCTACCTCAATTTTCTGCTACCGCTCTTCAGTCTTATACTGAATGAAAAATAGAAAGCCAATAGCAGCTTTGCATCATGCACATTTCAATGTTTTCACTAAGACAAGTCCATAGTATGTTTGTATTTATTAGTTGTCTTTGAATAATCTGATAGAGCACACATCCTACAAATAGTGTTTCTATTGCTGTATGTTTCCTTCAATTCTTCTCCTGGTATTCACTATCTGTGTAAGGACAAATCTGTCCAACGAGGACCCAGATTGTAATAAAACAAATTTGAACAGAGGTCCTAACTCCATCACACTTCATGCAAAACAAAAAAGAAGTAATAATATGTAGTTTTATATATAGTTCAACATTTCATTTTTGGTGAATTTAATAGACTGAAATAAATTGGTTTCCTATGAGTGGTGTCCTACAACAAAGTATGTTACTTCACTAAAACCACACTTGATGATTTGGAACTGGGGATCTCTAAATAATATAAATTGAGTTTGTTTAGCCCCTATCCAGACCATAAAACAGGCTTTCTTTATTGTCCTTTGAGGGACACAGGAAAGCAGTAATTCCTATACTATTTGGGCTAAATGCAGCTGCCTTCAGAAGGTGGACATTGGCAAACATAAAGTGAAAGCCAGCTCCTGTAAACCCCACCCTTAACAGGCAAGGCTCAGTTTTTTGCTAGTGTCCTAGGAAGTTGGATGCTTTTTTAAAAGCCTTTTAAGAACATACCTGGCTAGCAACAGAATATACGTGTTTTACAATTTAAGTGCATGCTACATTATTATAGTTCCTTTTATATCCATTCCTATACTTTACACTCATTTGATACCCTGAGATCAGAGGTATTACTTTATTTAATTTTTTATGTTCTGAGTAAAGCCATTTTCTGAGAGTACCTCCGCTGGGAGTGTCTTCTTACTTTGTTTGAGGTGAGGAGTGAGTACATCCCAGAAGGCAAGTGTCCCCTTACTTGAGGATTTTGTTTTTGTTTGTGCTTTTATGGATGGATGTGTTTGTATGATGGTCATGAAAAGGCCACAAAAATGTTATTTTGAACAGGACTGTACATGACAATTTTCATAGTTGGGTAAAGCTTCCTAATGGTCACAAGCAATCTTCCACATATATTGAAACCCCAGAAATAGATTTCTTATGTTACTCTGATATGTTATATGACATTAGCTGTATTTTAGCTTGTAATCAGACTGCAGTGTTGTCCTTTTTGCAGCAGTGCATGAAAATTCCACTTTAATTCTACAAATGGCTTTTTTTTAAAAAAAGTGATAATAAGATTTCCAGGATGATTCCAGTTGATGTGGGAAAATTCATAATTAAAGGTACAGTAAGCTCACAGACTAGTCTGGTGGGTGTGGCTTGTTTTTATAAGACAGGAATAACCTAGGCATGTTGCCAACCAAATTTTGCTGTAGTCCTCGCATAAATACTCTATCTCTGTTTAATCTAACAGTATATAAAAACTAAATGTGAAACAAGTGACAGGACATCAATCATGGAATGTATTCCAGAGATTTCCCAAGAGATTCAGCTGCTCCTATGTAGAGGTAAACAGCGTGGGAGAAGAGACTTGTCCCACAGAACCAAATATACGTTCGTACTGTGCTGCTGAAGGCTTACTTGCCCTGAAAAGCCGTAGTATGTCATTATTTCAGAATTCAGCAGCTTAGTACAGATACATGATTTTTTGCAATCTCCTTGGAGCCCAGTACCTATTGCAGTCTG